TGAGAAGGAGGGAAGAACCGAAGACAGCTGAGTGTCTGGTTTGGAAGCTGAGTAATGGGTGATGTCATTAATTGAAAGAGGAAGGGAAGGGGGGGGGTATATCTATAGGAGGCCCATCCGAAGCTTTACATGTGGCATTTCATTTAATCCTAAACTTGAAAGAAAGATTAAGATGCCCATTTCATGGATTAAACAATTGAGGTTTAGTGAGCTTAAATTACTTGCTCAAGCTCACACAGATGGTAAAAAAGCTGGGACCTTACACTAAAGCCTGTGTCTTTCCATTACAGTGTTCTACTGTTTGATAATCATTTTAGTTTGGAAAAATAGGACTGGAGCTTAGGGAAAAGGTAGAGCTAGAAACGTGGTTCTCTCGGACGAAAACTGGCAAAAAGCGAGGAAAGTTTCCTTTGCACTATCGGGATAGAGAAATACAGCAGCAATGTCCCATAAAATTCTCTGCAGTGATGGAAATCCCTTATACGTGCACTGTCCAGTACAGTAGCCACTAGCCCGTGTGGCTATGAAGTACTTGAAATGTGACTAATTTGATGGAGGGACTGAAATTTTAATTCATTAAATTAATTAATGAATTAAAGGTAAGTGTACATAGCTAGTGACTATCATATTGGATAGTTTAGGACTAGGGAAACCAGCCAGACACGGAGACAGTCCATCAGTGGGGAGGTCTTGCTGGTATCCCTGAAATATCACTAGGTATTTGATCATCTGCCTCACATGTGTGGGATAAGATTGGTCCTAAGTTTGGGGTCCACAGTTAGGAAAGACAACAAAAATAGTATTACCAGGTCTTATCTTTAGAAGGAAAGTCAGTATAATACCCCACTTCCTTTCTTTTTTTTTTTTAAAGTTTTTAATTTATTTATCTTTAGAGGGGAAGGGAAGGAGAGAGGAGGAGAAACATCAATGTATGGTTGCCTTTCGTGCGTCCCCTGCTGGGAACTGGCCTGCAGGGAACCAGCTTGCAACCCAGGCATGTGCCCTGACTGGGAATCGAACCGCAATTGTCTGGTTCGCAGGCCCGCGCTCAATCCACTGAGCTACACCAGCCAGGTCCCACTTCCTTTCTTATATGAGATAAAAATCACAATCATTTTCTCTGCATTTACATTTTTTTGATAGTGTGTGAAGAGCTCAAACTCCAGGCAAACCCCAGGGTTCAAATTCAGGTCTAACACTGAATGTGTTGTGTCCTGAGTTTGTTAGTTCACACTCTCAGACTTCACTTTCCCTACCTGTAAAATAGCGATGACAATTGTATCTTACTTGTGGGGTGGTTGTAAAGATTAAGTTAAATAACTTGTGTAAAACACTTAGCCAGTATCTGGCACATGCTAACCACTCAGTAAAAGAGCTATTCTGTAACCAGTAACTTGTGATGAATTTGTACTTTGCACCTCTGTATTTTGACATTTACCCTACTCTATTTTTATATAAGTAAAGGCATCCTCCCAGATCTGTAAATGTTAGAACATTCTAAAAAGAAGTACACATTCACCAGGATAAAAAGGTAGATAGGATTCTACAAAGTTATCGTACTGTGGCATGTGGTTTGTAGTTATTTTTGTTTTTCACTTTGATATCCATTTTGTTACAGTATATTTTAAATCATTACAACGGCAAATCATAACCCTTATTATTTTGTTGTGATCATCATTGAAATTCTTTTGGCTTCACCTCAAACAGTTCATACACGAGGTGATCAAGCAAAAATACTAGAGGCTGTTAAGTATTGACTCAAAAGATTCCTTGATGTCTTGAGGTTCTGAAAAATTTCATACTACTTTAATCGAAATATTTAATGCCTAGTCTTTGGTTATCTTAGAAGTGGTTGGATACATCAAGGACTATTTAAAGACTAATGACTTCAGAAGTAGGAACAAGTAATAGAATCCCTTTTGTTGCCATCGATTTTGTACTTTGTAACCACTGGATTGAATAAACAGCTCTGTAATATAGTCTTATACTGTGTAGTGTTTGTATAAAAAATACATTAAAAAATTAGACTAAGGTGTTAAGAAATCTATGTTCAAGTGCCAGGTCTGCCATTGATTTATCTGTTTAGTAAGGAAAAGTCATTTACCATTTTGGGTCACAAAGAGGTAAATGTCCTCTATAAATGTGTTGATCCAGCCTTAATTCTAGATCTCCTAAGTATCCTTCCAACTAAAATTTCTTCAATTTACCTTTTCCTTTTCCCTTTGGGCTTAAAGATCTTCCAGAGGTAATTTTTACTTTCATGCTTTTATAAACATGCTCTTGGAATACATCATTTCTTTGGAAAACCATTCATTGGTGAGTCAGCATGAAGGCAAAAACCCATTACAAAAGATATCAAAATTGCATGAGGTGGAGAAACGAGAAATGATTTTCTTTTTAAACAGAAATGATGAGGTATAGAAGAACCAATTACTTATTTATAAAATGAGTGCATGGTGGAAGGCTTTATGTATCAGAGCTAAAGAGCTGTTACTTATTTAGCAAGACGGAGTCCTCTCCATACTGCCTTAAAACTGTTATTTACTATAACCGTTCCTTTCAGAGAGGGAGACATAAAATGTGTGTCGGGAGGTGGGCGATGGAAGAAGGAAAGAGGAAGGAAGGAAGGAAGGAAGGAAGGAAGGAAGGAAGGAAGGAAGGAAGGAAGGAAGGAAGGAAGGAAGGAAGGAAGGAAGGAAGGAAGGAAGGAAGGGAGGAAGGGAGGGAGGGAGGGAGGGAGGGAAGGTAGCAAGGTTAAAAGTCGCCTCGCCACCCGACCCCTAGCCCCGCCCGCCTTCTCTGGAAGCACGTAATTAAGGGAATTTCCTCCTGCAGCCCCGATCGTTCGGGGCCGTCTCCGCATCACTATCAGCGCAACCAGGGACTCTGCTTTCTCAGGCGGTGACTTCCCAACTCCTCCAGCGGGTCCGGGGTGGGACGCCGCGAGTCCCTGCCGCCCTGGCTGAACCGCTGGGCTCTGAGGCCCGCAGCGCCGGCGAAGGCGGGGGTGGGGGTGAGCGTGCGGAGTCCGGGGGTGGGCGCCGGAGCGTTTCCAGGGTGAACGCGGCGGCCGGGCGCGTTTCCGGAAGGCTGATTGCATCAGGTGTGGAGCGGGGCGCCGCCTCGGCCCAACCTGGTGCCACTGCGCCTGCGCGCGTCGCCCCGCCCAGCGGCCGAGCACTCCAGCGCGGGTTTTCCTCCGCGTTTGCGAGAGACGGAGTCGCTGGGTGGGGGCGCTGTGCTGCCCAGGACCCTGAAGAGAAGGGGTAGCGGGGCGGGACTCCGGGGGAACCGCGGAGAGCCCTGGGCTTCGAAGGAATAGAGTGCTGCCGAGTGGACCCGCCTGGAGGGCGGGAGCCCGGTCTCCTCTCAGCTACTGGCGGACAGGGTGGTCTTGGATTAATGTCCTTACCTCTCTGGGCCTAAAAGAGAGCTAGAAGGCTTTCCAGCAGTTCGGAAACATCATTTTCCTAAAGTGCATTAAATTTCTCAAAGTGGGCCCCCGGCTTTCCTTGGGCGGATCTTCGGGTGCAGAGACTCAGCCCCAAGGGCGAGCACTTCCATGGATTTCTCAGTGGTAATACTGTTTTGCTGTTGCAGGAAGGAGTGACATGATTGGCGACCTCCCGGTGGGTCTGCACAAACGCCAAAAGCGCCTCTTTGCCCCTCCATTCATTGCCTCCAACTCCATTATGAGTCCGCCTCAGGGTCCTGGTAGACTGACTTCTAGTACTCTTCATGTCTGAAAATGACATTTTTGAGTGACTCTGTGATGGGTGTCTCTCCACCTACCTGGATTGCCAGCTCTATGAAGGGCGGGTCTGGGCATTTTTACTCACTGCTATCTCGGGCTTACTGTATATAAGACCTTGTGGGTCCTCAATAAACTCACCATGTTTGAAGGAATACAGTAATCCCCACTTCAACCTCAGAGACCTCACTTGAAGAATAAGGACCAGCTGGTGTGAGTTTATTTGAGGAGGGAGCGCATTCTGAGATTTTGGGGATAAGGATAAGTGAGGAGGAGCCATCCATTCGTTGTTGCCATGAATTTACTTTTAGCGTCAATCTCCTGCAGGAGATCATAGGCAAGGCTGTGTGTGTGTGTGTAGAGTAGTGGTTCTCAAAGTGTGGTCCTCAGACCAGCAGCAGCACCAGCAGTGCCCGAGAGCTTGTTAGATACACAGATGCTTGGGCCCCACCAAAGACCTGCACACAGAGACTCAGGGAGTGGGACCCAGCAACTCGTTTCTCTAATCCTACAGGCAATTCAGACTCTGGCTCAAGTTTGACAACCACTGCACTGGGGAAGAACTTAAGGATGCTCTGTCGTTCACAGTCTCTGGGCAGAGCGCCCACGAACACTTTCAGAGTGCCCATTCTTTTCAGGACTTTGCTTGCCTGCCTACAGTTTAGTGAAAGCTAAATTTCCTTGGGGTGAAAAGGAAATTTTGCTTTTCCCCTCCTGCAGGCGTGTGTCATCCCCTGAGGCGATCTTGCTGTGATGTTCACTTCAAGGAATCGTGTGTGTATCTATCTAACTTATGCGAAGGGTTCTGGATAAGGAGGCAGAAGGAAGGATGTCTTGCCTACAAGTTGCTGCTGGAAGGGTGTGGGCAGCTCTCACCTGGGGGCATTTTCCCATTATGAGGGAATGCAGACAGGAGAAAAGACTAGCCAGGGATAAGGTTACCCAACTGCCTTTTAGTGCAGATAGATGCCAGACCATATGGAAGAGATATCCGGCTGCACCCTGACTCCCGGAGGCAATTGGGTCTCCACATCCTAGGCCCCAAAGCCTCCTAGCTATCTTCCCAGAAGATAGGGGGACCCTGCGTCTCAGATGATCCACTGCCTCTGCCTGCAGAGGTCGCACTAGGCACGTGGCCCGCCCCCTGCTCCCGGGCCCCCGCCCTCGGCCCCGCCTTTCTCTCGGTTCAACCCCAGCCTGGCCAAGCCGCGCCAGCCTCTCCTCCTGCAGCCGCCGCCAAAGCCTGGAGAAGTGGAATCTCGTTGGCGTCGCTCCCAGCTCGGGACTCGCGGAGTGGCACTGGGCATGCTCAGTCGCCTGAGCCCGTCCTAGTCTCAAGTAGGAGGAAGCTCGTGTGCTGCACCCGCAGCTGATACGGCGCTCGGTGGAGGGCGAGACTGGAGCGGAGCTGTCGGGCGCCGTAGCGGAGGCCGGACCCCGTAGCCGAGGCGAGTACCGCGCACACCACCGGTGAGCCTCGCGTTCTTCCTTGCTTTTACCCTGGACCCGCAGCGGCCCGGGAGTGCTGGCGGGAGACCCGGGCAGTGGCGTGCGGTGAGTGGCTGCGCGTAGTCCCAGCGGCTGCTCCTGTTCTGATCCCGAGGGCTGCACGGCCACTGCCGTCCGCCCAGCCGCAGCCACAGCTGCAGCAGCTGCTGCCGCATCTGCAGCTGGAGGCAGCTACGGAGTCCCGTGCCCCCTGCGCCGGTGCCGCAGGGCCGGGTGGCAGGGCGATTGCGGGCTCACTCCTTGACTTGCATCTCTTTTGCTTTCCAGCATTCTCTTTTCCGGGCATGGCAGGGCCTGGGGCGGCAGAGACCGGCTTGGAGGGGGGTGCCCCGGGGTGGGGGCTGCGGAGAGGAAAAGTGAGGGTGGGCGCGAGTGAGGAAGAGCGCACACCCCCTACCCCTGGCACTGCCCTTTGCCGTGCGGCTGGGCTCCCCAGCCTGGGGCGGCAGCGCGCTCCTGCCGGGAGTTGGAGACGGGGCTAGCTTCTCGGGGTTCAGACACCAGCCTATGAGAGATCAAAGGGGGAAAAGTTCATATCTCCCCTCGGAGGCAGAGAGGGTTTTAACTAGAAAATGGCTGTGCGAAGGGGACGAATCAGGAAAGCTGGCCAATGGGTCCAGAAAGCCCCTCCGCTGCTTGCTTGGGGGGGGATGGAGGGCTGAAAGCTAGAAATGACATTTGTGCGATGAAAACCTTGCTGGAAGGAGGCATGATGCGAAGCGGAGTCCCATACAAACAATGAAAGGTGGTCTCGACCTCGGGTGCTTTGAGAGAGCGAGCGAGCGAGCTGAGAAGTCAGGGGCAAGACAGGGGCGAAGGGCCAAGGAGGCATTGGACTTGAATTCAAAAGATAATAAATTGGAGAAATCAGATTTAGAGTTGGAGCTGTTTTGTAGTCAAGTTCTGCGCAGCTGAGAGGCACGACTGTCACAAACGTTTCTGGCTGGAATGAGTGGTCGGAGAGGGCCAAGATTGAGAGGAGAAGGTCACTGTCTCAAGCTCCAACAAGACTGGGCTGTGGGAGGGCACAGTTTTGTTTAGGAAGTCTCTCAGTCACTGGCTCTATTTACATTGTGCCTTATGACAGGTGAAAATACCTAAAGAATGATCATACAGTGATGTCAGCGGTGGCGCATGAATTCCAAGAAATGAGGAAACTTTGTAAGATTGGCACTGGTTTGTCATTTGTTTTACTATGACACTGATTTAAAAAAAAAAACTATGACATCTTGATCTGCGGTTCTGCATTTGGGTCTATTAAATCTTTGATATTTTTTTACCCTTGTTATGGATTTGAATTTAAAATGTTGTGCTCAGATGTCCATGATAATTAAGAGTATCAGAATTTATGCAGCTGGCCTTTAAGGAACAGGCAGTCCAGGAGAGGGGATTCGTCTATGAATGTGGGTAGCAGCTTTGTTGTATATCTTCAGTTTGTAGCTTGAAAGCAATATTCACTCAACCCTTGTGTATCGTAACTTGCAGAATCCTAGAAATGGCACTGTTTTGAGAGGATGGCATTTGTGGAGAGGATGAGCAACCTCCAGGCTGGGGGAAATGCTGAGAGAACACAGGGGGCAGTAGAGTGCAGTGGGCTGGTATCAGAAGCCAGGGGAAACAGATGCAGGCTTTCTACGCTGTCCTTTTGTTAATGGTTAGAAAAAGCACCTGGGGTCTTCAAAACCTGGGATGTCCCTAGACGCTTGCTCAGAGCCTTTGCAAGAGGACTCTAAAGTTGGGATTCTTTTCCAGCGAAGGTGTTTATATGTCGTAGGCTATTCTCTCATTCAAAGTATACTTTTTTTAACTAAATGATTTGCCTCCGTGGAGCCAGCACCATCCCGCTTCCTGAAACTTATAAAGTGGTAGTGGAAAGGCTCGATAAGCTTAAGTGTAAAGGGCTGGCATTGTACACTTAACTTCAGTAGTATGAATACTGGCTACAAAGTTATTGAAGAAACGACTACTAAACATTGCAAGACTCCACCTCTACAAAGATAATTATTTTAAAACTGGTACTCTTTTTACACCATGTTTAAACTTTTGATGACTATTTTCTTTTACTGCTGCTAGAAAAATAGTAAACATTGTGTTCTTTTTTTCCTGTTACAGCAGGAATTAATACTGAAAACCTTGCCATAACATTAGAATAGTGTTATGTTGATTACCCTGAATTGAGGATATCTAAATTTGTATTTTAAGAAAAATGCACTGTTCTCTCTGTGTGCCTTTTTCAGTCACACTTTTAAAATATACATTTTAAAAATAAAATGCAATACCCTGATGATATAACATCTTCCATTTTACAGGAGTGCAGGACAGACTTTTAGGAAAGTATATCAAGAAGATATTTCTAGGTATGTGGATGGTACTGATTCTCCTGCCCTGGGTTAGGGAAACAAGCATTTGTTCAGAGCTTCTGGTGTGTCAAGTCTGCTGTTAAGGTCTTACATGTATCATCTAATGTGTCAGTATCTTTGACGTAAATGTCAGCTTCTCAAGAAAACCCCTCTGAGAAGGTGGGGAGTTCTTTGATTGTACAGCAAAGGAACTTAAAAGTTTTATCTTCTATGAGAATGTCTTCAACTGGCGTCATTCTTATTCGATAAGCATCTCTTGTAAAACATCTTTGATTTGTGATTTGGAATTAGATTTGGTTGGAATAGCCTGTCTTCAAACTGATCTGGAGATTTTTAAGAAGCTTCCATCCAGATTTAAAAACTGTTTTGTATTCATTGGTTTTCAGCACTGTTGTACTACCAGCACACAAAGTTAAATGTAGGGAAAACAAATCCAGATTGCCCATTTTCGTTTTACTGTGTTATTAGTGCGTATCCTGCATGTTGATATGTGTTGGTGGCATTTCTCTCAGTTGAAGTGGTTTTTCGGAGGTAGAGTGCCAGACTTTCCATAACTAAGGGTCTAGTGAGATTTGGTGGAAGGACCACCAACCAGGGGCTTCCAGGACTTGTGTTCTGGGCCTGGCTCATCCACTAGTTTAATGTACTGTGTGATGTTGGGGGAGTCAGCATACTTCTCTGGGCCTCAGTTTTTCTCATCTGTAAAATGGGGACGTTGCTGTGGAATGCACCCTCCGGGTGTCTGTTGGGTTTTTCTTGTCCCTGTCTGAGGGTCTGTGATACAGCCATTTGATGAGTGGGGACTTCATTTAAAGTATTAGATGAAGCCGATTTTGTATTTCAGTAAGTCTGGCTTGTCTAGCTTTGTTGAATGCCCTTCCCTTTTTTTTTTTTTTTTGCCTGTTTCTGCCTCTCTGTTAGTTTTTATTTGTTAAAGAATGTCCTAAAATTAGTTCTTTGTGCCCCTACCGAGACTAGGTAGAAGATAAAGTAATGATTTGGTTTGGGTAAAACACATTGAATATTTTAAACTTTTATAGCATCTTCTGAAGGGAGATGCTGCTCTTGGTCAATCTGAGAAAGAAGCCTCCATGGGGACTGCAGAGGAGGGTGTCCTGTGCCTTGGTTGCTGGGGCCTGGCCACATGACATTTTGTTCGGCAACCCTTTCCCATGTCCCTGTCCTTTGTCTTCAGCCCTCTATCAGGAATGCAGCCCTTGGTCTCCGGCTCACAATGATCATTTCATGTTAGTACCGCCACTGGATTGGGTTGGTTTCCACAGTCCACTGCTGCAGCAGCAGCAGGAGCGATGGCTGTCGAGTGTGCTCACACGTGTGCTCACATGTTGGCAAGGTCATGCACTTTTGGGGGGGCAAGCTATGCTGATGGGGCAGAGAGCAAAGGAAACCCATCCCATTTGGTATTTTGAGTATACTTTGCTTTCAAGATGGTCACAAAACTCAGCCTCATTAACCTTTAAGTGAGGTAGGTGAGGAGAAGCCAGAGTTGTTATCTGTATTTAAATAATTGATATTAATGGACGGTGAGTCTGGAGCTTCTGATCAGAACCAGGTGCTGAAGTTTACTGGGCTCCTGCTAGGAGTGGAGCCATAACTCTAAACACTGGATGAGAGAGAGCTGGAAGGAGAGAGAGGGAAGAAGGTCATGTCATCACGATGTGGCAAGAAGGCCAAAAGGTCACGTCATCACGACTTGGCCAAGAGGCCAGAACTGGTGATCGGTGGTAGATGCCTTTGGGGGAAGAGACATTCCCTTTCTACGTAATCTTATTCCCATAATATGTGAATCTTACCCAGACTTCTAAGCACTGAACAATTGCTAGGACAAGCATTGCTTTCATCATCAGGAAGCAAGTCCCAACATATAATTTATTGGTATATAAAATACAGAGATCTGTGTGGACCAAGAGGAGAAGAGAACATGGAAAAATGAATGGTATGGAGTTATGATTAAAGGTTTTCTCTATTGTTTGTTAATAATTTGATAGTGGTTATAAATAAAGTGAGCTATTCTGTCCTTTGCCTCTTACAGAAATCTTGCAAAATTTGGTCTGCTACATAATGACTGAGGTTTTTGAAGTGTATTTCTACCGGAAAGTATGCGTTAGGAATGTTTAGAGTGAGAGGAAGGGTGGTTTTGTTTCTTCCTTTTAAAATTGCCTGAAAAGAATGTGGTTTTGGAACTGAGCTAGAAGTGTGCTCTTAGGAGGACGAGGTTGGGAAGAACGTGCGGAGCTTCGGGGAGGGAAGGGAAATGAAATGCCCTTGTTGAAGAAGGAAAACTCGGCATTACTGGTGGCAGTGGATGTAGCGTTTACAAAGCTGTTGCCCAGTGAATCAGAGCTTCGATTCTGTACAACTTAAAAGTAACTGAGTGTCTACTGTATGCAAAGTGCAGTGCTGGGCCCACTTGTCCGTTGGTGATGTTTTTGCTGTCCTTGTCAAAACGACAATGATGATGCAGTGAAAATTTCATAAGTGTGTTCAAATGAGAAGATTGGTGCTTTTCTCTGAGATTGTATCCTTCCGGTTTGGGGGTAAATTTTTTTTTTTATGAATTGATGGGAATATTTTTACTTG